ATTTAAAAATTTTTTAAAGTTAAAATTTTTTTAAAAATATAAATTTTTTTTAAAAAAATTTTAAACTTACTAACAGAAATAATATAAAAAAATGAATCACTTGTGAGCTCTGCACCAAACGGACCCAAAATTTATGGGGTAGTGGACTGATCATGATAGATCATTTTTCTGGCGATTATAAATGGACAGCTTATTGGGGTTATGTCTTCAACATGTTCGACCGAATTGTTGTGGATTTTGGGCATAACCGACAACTTTGGCTGTCGTTGTTCATTATTCCCCACTTTTCCTCGCTTTCCCTATTTTCTTCTGTTTTTCCTTTTTTCTCCGGCGAGGTTAGCTTTCGCCGTTCGTGCTGCACTGAGTAGCTGACCGGCGCACGTCCTGTTCTCCAGGTCCCCACGCCAGTGACGGTAATTTTGCAGCCTTCTCGGTAGATTTTGATGCTCTTTGTTTGGTTTTCCTTGGATTTACGGTGCCTATTCCCTGTTCTTCTTGTAGATCTGTGCTCCAAAACCAAACTCCACCGACTCCACATCACAACATCGGCACCTTGCCTGAAATCGGCACACCGTCCACGGTTAGTTTTCCCCTTTGATTTTGATACAGAAGAGAAGGTAGAAATAGAGATAGAATCAGGATGAGAAAGAAGAGAAATTGCAGAAAAAGAAAGTTAAGAGGAAGAAAATGTTACAGCTTAAAAGAGAAGGTAGAAAGTGCTTTTGTTTCTTCTTGTCTACTTCTGCTTTTGATAAAGCTTTGGTCCCCCGCAAAGTAGAACTCATCAACTTAAATCCACAAACTAAATATAAAACCTTTGATTTCCCCGCAAACAACCACTGAGTAGACCAAAAAATGACAGTCCCCAAAATTTCAGCAATCAATCTACCACACAAATCAACCATTAGCAATACACACCATTTCCACAAAATTCCAATTCCTTGTCAGCATTAAGGAAATCTAAGTGCAAGATACCAAATTTTGTTTTCTATTCTTTCCTTGTCTAGGACAGAATTTATCCCGTCCTTAAAAGAACACAATTGTTTGTTCTTTTTCTTTATAACAGAATTTATCCTTTTCTTACTTACCTCATATATACCAGAAAAAGAATATATCAGTTTTATTTTTTGAAAAAAAATTTGTTCATGACACTAATTTGTTGATAATGCTCTATTTGTTTCAAATAACTGTTTTATTATTTTTTTAATTAGGAATTTGCTGATAATTTATACTTATATTACACTTAAGAAATAGATAAAGAGAGACTTCTGATAATAAGATGACTAATTGAAATAAATAAATAAGATAGGGTTAAATAATAATAATAATAATAATGATAAATAAGCTTTGGTTCCCTTGGTTTTGGGTAGGTTTCTAGGGGCTAATGAGATAAAGTGACTATTTTGGCGACTGAATGGTGGTATTTTAATTGAGTTATATGGATTGGAAATAAGCTTCTGAGCATTTGAGGCAAAGGTACTAAAGGTGGAAGAGTTCTGATATAGGCCTGTGAACTTTGGAATTTGGTTTTCTTCAGGATAGATTTTGCAGGAGCTTCTTGATGTTTAACATAGGAAAAGGGTTCTACAACAGGTTTACGGTGTTGACAAACAACAAAATGCTGTAACTCCTCCTTTAAACCATCAATAAACATGGCAATAGCTTGATCTTCTAAACTGTTGATTTTTTTTTTCTCTCTCAAAGCAATAGAGAGAAAAGCAGGAG